TTATTCTATTACATTCTATCAATTTATTTTGGAGAGCAATTTCTTACAGGGGACTTATCGATTAATTAAAGGGGTCGATCCTACATGGAAAAAAAAATACGCCTAGGCCTACAATTGTGAGTATTCTGGCAAGGATCTGTAAAACAGACCCCTGTAAGTGTAGCAGATTTCAATTATTTTTCTTAATACTTGTTTTCATCCGTATATTCTTCATTAAAATAATACTATACATAAATAAACAAATTTCATTCTTTTTTAACTATACATTTCAACATCAATTACCATTTCATAATACATTTTTTTAAATTAAAGGGGCACAAATAGGCCCTTAAAGTGGTTAAAAGATACAATTTCAAAATTAACAAACATGTTTTAAAACTTCAAAAATTATATCATAATTAAATTTTAATAATTAAAATAGATAATAAAAAATATTTTATTAATTAAAAATTATAAGGTCACAATACTATATAATTTATGGTCACAATTACTTACTAGTCACAATAAAAAAATGTCATAGTCACGAATGACAAATTTCATAAGTCACAACTTATTGATCGATCACAAATTATAAAAATTAATTGGTCACACATTATTTTTTGATCACAAAATCACAAATTTTATTAGGTCACAATTTATTTATATATCATAAATTATAAAAAATTAATATGTCACGTATTCTCGATCACAAATTTCATAAGTCACAACTTATTTCATGATCACAAATTATTAAATTAATTGGTTGTAATTTATCAATCATAAATTATCAAATTAGTTTGTTACAACTTCTTTCTCGGTTGCAATTAACAAATTAATTTATCACAATTATCCAATTAACTAGTTTCAAATTTTCACTTGTCTCCCACACCCCACCCCGTAGTCGGCACTACCTGACCACCACCTCATCAGCATCGTCGCATACACCCCAGCACACATAGATCACCACCACAAATCACAAACTACCACAGACCACCATACGCATATATCACTACCTCCATCACCACAACTAGTATCATCATCACCCCTAAAAACCACTACAGCCATTGCTCACGACGCATGCAGTGACGATGTCATCCCCATTGCTGTAGCGATGGTGGAGAGAATGAGAGAGAGAGGATTAGGGAAAATTGGGTTTGGGTGTGGTATATAAATTAATTTAATTTTATAATATTATTAATAATACCAAAAATTTAAACTATCAACTAATTTTTTAATAAAAAAAATTTTAAACCTCTTTTCTAAGTTGAAAAGTTAATAAATATGTGTGAGTGTAATTTCCACTTTAACGAGTTACATGTTCAAAAATAATTACAGATAGATTATCACATAAAAACCAGTCCTAATTCTTTCAGATTCTAAGGTTAGTCGCTCTTTGTTGGTCCTACCGAACCATGTTCTATGATCCTGTAAATTTTGATCAGCAAAACGAATACTTCCACGTGCACATATGTTAGATTATGTCTCTATTTACAAAATATGAAAATCAACATGCAACAATGATATCAAAACTATAATATTTTCAATTGAAATCAATATATATATATATATATATATCGATTGATTTAATGAAAATTTTAATGAACTATGCCTTAATTTTATGAGATTTTGTAATCAAATTGTACAAAGCACTGGGTACCGAAAAAGATATTCCTTCGATTTTTCAATTTTTGATTGATTAAAGGGTTTTGCTTGACGTACATAAATTTTTGTACATCAAGATGTTCCACACTCATATGGGGTAGGGTCTGTTCGAATATTTTATTTGAGTGAGCCCTACCCCATGTGAATGTAAGAATATATATATATATATATATATATATCGATTAATTTAATGAAAATTTTTAATGAACTATGCCTTAATTTTATGAGATTTTGTAATCAAATTGTACAAAGCACTGGGTACCGAAAAAGATATTCCTTCGATTTTTTATATTCTAATTGATTAAAGGGATTTGCTTAGCGTACAAAAATTTTTGTACATCAAGGTGTTCCACACTCACATGGGGTAGGGTCTGTTCGAATATTTTATTCAAGTGAGCTCTACCCCATGTGAATGTAAGAATATCTTAATGTACAAAAAATTATGTACAAGCAATGTTATTGTTGAATAAAATGTTTACCATTTAGCTAGCATCCAAAAGTCATTTGTGCATGACTAACCATTTCCATTCCAATGGGTAATTGTTAAATTATCTAAACATGTACGTTTTTAAAATTAAACTATTTAAGAAGAGCCTAAAAGCATGTTTTGGAGTTATTTATGATCAATTTAGATTATAAATTGATCATAAATAGATAGAAATAAATTATGGACGTTACTTGGGAGTCCCACGAAGATGTGAATAAGAGTTAATTTGACCAATTATAAATAAATTATAATCAGCAACGAAATATGACTTAGTCGTTAAAGAAAGAAAATATTTGTTTATTTTATAGTGAAAGTAGCATACAACATCTTAGTCAATGGCTTTCACATTATAAATTTAAAAGCAGACCAGGATAAAACAGGGATACCAGTCGGCGGGGGCCCATATGTCCTTTTACTTTTTTTTTTTTTTTTTTAAATGTTTCCTATATAATCTGTGACGCATTTGAATATTTAAATTGTGATTTTTTATTTATATCTATAAAAACAAAAATTATACCAATAGTCTAAAAATGAAATGACCACATTACCCCTTAATGACCCATTCGATAAGTAAAGCTTTGTTCACTTAATGACAATTTTTTCAACACATTTACTTAAAGATTTTAATGTATTTATACTCTAATTTTTGAGACTTTAGTAAAGGGTTCATTTTGTTCCACATTGAAAAATTATCAGTTATATTAGAGAAGCAAGGTCTGTATATAATGTAAATCTCTTCAATTTTTTATTTCTTTTGTCTCAATTATTCAAGTATATGTCATTCAAAATAAAAATGAATATTTAATTTAATATTTTAAATATAATAATTAAAATTTTGAAAAAATTAAATGAGGGCGGGCCTTTGCCAGAAACCGGCCCTAAGCGAAACATACCCGTCCCATTTGGGTTTAATTTTTCATGGGGCTCCAATTTGTTGAGGGCAAATTGTCATACTATGGTAGGATGTCAAATGGGCGAGCAGCTCGTCGGCTTGTTAAAGCTCGACTCGTGGGTGGCTCAAACTCGTCAAAGGCTTGGCTTGTCGAGCTCGCGAACCCACGAGCTAAAAATATAAAAAATGTGGAGAAAAGTTTGAAAATTTAAAAATAATAAAAAAAAATTATTGAGCTCATGAGCTCGACTCGGCATGGCCCATTAGCTCGTGGCTTGTGAACTCACGAGCTCATGAGCCGAGCCGAGCTCACCCCTTGAGTATGAGCCAAGCTCGAGCTTGGCTCGTGCTCATGCGCCGTTGCCATCTATATACTATGGTAAAGCTTGAAGAATAAGGATCTGTTTGATTGCGAAGATGAAATTTGGGTCGAAAGAAAATGAATTTCAGGGAATTGAATTATCTAGAAATTATTTTCCTGAAAATTGTAAATTGTTGTATTTGATTGGTATAATTTTTCACGTGGAAAATGTTGAAGTAAAAGTGCTTTTTGGTGTTCGTTTGACTTTGTTTTACATGAAAATTGTTAATTTAAGGGATATCAATTTCTACCATTGTTCCTAGAATTTGTTTTCATTGTCAACCAAAAAAAAAAGGAAAAAAAAAATCAAAAAAGCATCTATATTTTGGTGTTTGTTTGGCTTTGTTTTACATGAAAATTGTCAATTTCAAGAATATCCTCTTTTAAAATTGTTTTTAAAATTTGTTCCCATTGCCAACAATTAAAAAAAAAAGGTGAAAAATCAAAAACCACCTACTCTAGGAAAATAAAAAGTGGAAAATCAAGCTTTAAAGTGTTGTACCTAGAAATTCATGGAAAATCAATTCCCTGGAAAATTTTGTCAATCAAACAGGTCAAAAGTGGAAGTTGGAATTCGAATTCCAAATTTCATGGAAAATTTCGTGCAATCAAACGGGACCTAACTCTTTTGTCCCACATAAATTGCCTTACTTCAATTTTTACGTGTTAAGAAAACATAATTAATATAATTAAAAAATAAAATTTTCTAACATTTTTTCTAATAGACTCGTACATTACATAATAGTTTAAATATGAGTATTCATATCTATTTATAATAGGAATGTCAACGGGTCGAATTAAACCAAGCCGAGCCGAGTCCAGCTTGCGAGTTGAACTTGAGATTTGAGCTCAAATCGACTAAAATTAAGTCGGATACCTGAGCCGAGCCAATCAAAAGCTCAAGCTCGACCAAAAATTCGAAACTTGACTAGAGCTCTTTGCTCAAGCCTTACCAAGCCTAGCCGGTTTGAATTTATTTATTTGTTTACTTTTTTTCAATAAAACATAGGCAACAACTGCACTATGCTGGCGATTTTTTCTTAAGAGCCGGCCCGACAAGCCACATGTGCCAGCTCAAGCTCGACCCGAGCCTTAAGTCGGGCCCGTTTGGGCTTTTTTCATGGCCACCTGAGCCGACGAGCCAAATTGTCACCCTTAATTGATAACATGGCAAATGAACATACAGAAAACTAAAAATACTTTCAATAAGAAAAATAAACTATAATTTAAGATTGAAAAAAAAAAAAAGAAAAAAGAAAAAGCAAGTATATTTTTATGGAACGAAAGAAGTAATAATTAACTTGATATAATACTACACCTAACTTCATCTTTCTTGAATGTATAGAGGTCGATAAAGGTCGGTGCTCACATTATAATGTGGATTAAAGGGCATTATTACAACCCAAACTTGCGGGCATGTGCCCCAAAATGTTCCCCATGACATTACCAAATTACCCCAAATGCTATAACAAATTCAAAACTGGACAAAAAAGAACGAAAGTGTCTTAAAGACGAAAAGTTTAAACTAATAATTCCCATGTTCTGCACTAAATTCATGTTAATGATAGCGAAAAGTTCAATCAAAATTTTGGAAAAAATTAACAATCCCTGCAAAAGGCTAATGATCGAAAGTATCTGATAAAATTAAAACGATACAATTTAAGAGATTGGACATAACTCCTACTCGATGATGACAATAAGAAAAATGATAATCAAGATTCAAGGTCAAACAAGTCATTAGACCACAATTAAAGATGAAAGGACCAAAATGCCCATAAAAAATATTGCCATTATAAAGTAAAAGGTACAGGAACAACCAACCACTTGGACAGAGCAATAGATACAGCATCTGATTCACACTTCCACCACAGCTCTGACATAGTAACCCCAAACAAACCAGAAATTATAAAACAGCCCCGAAACTTGAATTATCTTACTTTCTAGTCCCCCTACCAATCACATCTTGGTACCTGATAATCCAAAAATTTAAAAAAAAAACCCCACGAACTAAGATAATCTTACCCTTTAGTCCCCCTACCAATCACATCTTGGTACCTGATAATCCAAAAATTTAAAAAACAACCCCAAGAACTGAAATAATCTTACTTTTCAGTCCCTCTACCAATCATATCTTTATACCTGATTCGCGGAATCCAACCTCTGAAGCTTCAACTGGTGCTTGAATTTGTTGATGAAAACATCAGCTTTCGCATCCACTTCATGGTCCTCTGGAAGCTTACTATTTCCATTCTCTCTCGCCGTCGCCGGGCGTCGCGCCTCAACAATGTCCTCCTCGAAGTGCCCAACACCTGATTTAAAGCTCGCCGACTTAATCATCCTCGCAGGAAGCTTCTCTGGAATCTCACCGGACGCCGGTTCAGTATCTGACGTAGTCCGAATAAAATGACTGCCAGTAACTTCACTGTAAACCTCAGCCATGCTCTGAAACTCATTTTTCTCAGCTTTCTGTTCATGGACCTCTTGAAATTCCAAAGGGGTCATTTTTTCTCCTTCAAAAATCAAACGATCTTGGGTTTCGTGAAAATCTTGTTGAAAAACGTAATGGGTCTGCGCCTGTGTAGTCTCAAGATTTTCTTGGAAACTTTCTTGATGAGACGGCTGAAAGAAATACCGGGAATGTTCTTCAAAATTTAGAGCTTCATGGGAGCTCTCAGGATTGAGAAGGGTGTCTGAATCTGTAACTTCTTTCTGGTGGGCATCTTGAGATCTGGAGAAATTGATAGATTTCAGGCGCTGAAGAACAGAGGGGGATCTGGCGATATTTTGCTGTTGAGGGTCATTTTGGGACTCTTTTTGGTTTGCTAATGTTGAGGTGAAAGCAATAGTGCCTATCACAAGATTGAGGAGAACAAAGAAAACAGTGGGAGTGAACCAGCTATTCATGGATTCCCATATTGAAGGTATTACAGATGCAGACTCTTCAAACATTGTCGTTAAACCTCTCTTGAAGAGAGAAGAGCGTATATTCACAGATGGGAAAAGGAAAATGAGGACAATGGACAGTGGGGATGGCCAATGGTGGGGTGGGTGATGGTTTAATTTATGTTCTGTTGGGTATTTGGTTTATTTTTGTCGACTGGTAGAATAATCTTTTATACTTATGTGTGAACATCAATGTTTTAAAGTTCTGATTCGAAAAAGGTAGATAACAAGACTGATGATATTTAACCTCTGTTACGAATTAAAATTAATTTTTTAATAGATTTTAATAGAAAATTGATAAAATATGTAGTTAAAAAGTTGTTAGTGTTACAAAAAGTGTGTGATTAATATTAGTTTTTTTTTTTTTTATCTTGATTTAAAATTAATTTCTCATAAACAAATGCTTAGACGCTATACGTTAAATGAGATATATCGTCCTTGTTTGATTCCCATTTAAAGTGAAAGAATGTATTTTTAAATAGTGATTGATGGAGAATATGTGGTTAAAAATTAAAAAAAAATTTGATTTGCGTGTTATATTATTTTATTGAAAAAAGGTGTGGTTAAAAATGAGTTTTGAAAAAAATGAATTTTTAAAAAAATGGGAATCAAACAAGGGTATAATTAAATGAATTATTTAATTCTACATTTTATTGAACTTATTATTTAGTGGCACCTATACAAATGTTATAGCACCGCTTATGGATAATCGAATTATTAGTAAACACAATTAAATATTGAACAATGAGTTTTAGCAGAAAACTAATTGGTTTAGTTTTCCGAATAAACTAGAGTTTCTAGAACAATTCTTGTAACTTTTTGAAATTTAGCCCAAGTTTGATCTCATTATTTAGAGCCTGTTTGGGGAGTGATTTTAAGAATTGATTTTTTGATCGTTGGAAGAAAAGTGGGATCCACCTGTGAGAGAAAAAGTCAAATATGTGAAATAACAATCAAAAAATCAATTTTTTTGGGGCAAAAAAGCGCTCCCAAACAAGCTGTTTTAGCCTTTTATTTTTTAAAACTCATTTTTAATCATATATGTAATAGGGATACAATTTTACAATCACATATTTTATCGTCTGTTATTAAAAGAGTAAATTTAACCAATAATCACTGAACTTTACACTTGATTACTACTTGCTCACTCATCTTTCACAGATTACTGAATGCTCACTCATCTTTTCATATAATTACTCATTCATCACTCGTCTCTTCAAATAATTGGGCGACTTTTACGGCAAATTTTCGACAACTTCCGACCACAAAAAATGTCGAATTTTGATACTGTTGGAAAGCCCACGATATCCTCTTCAATTACCACCCAAAATCTCATTATAATTTCAAGGGATTCGATCGAAAAATTGCCTTAAAAGTTGCCCAAAAATTTTGAAAATCTGCCCAAATTTTCATATTTTTTGGGCGACTTTTAAGGCAATTTTTCGACAACTTTCGACCATCAAAACTATCGAATTTTGATACCATTGAAAAGTCCACAATGTCCTCTTCAATTACCATCCAAAATTTTCCCATAACTCCAAAGGATTCGGTCGGAATAAACCCACAAAATCAGCATCTTGAAAAGGCGAAAATCTGGACAAAGTTCGGGACGCTGACTTTGTGGCTTTATTCCGACCGAATCCTTTGGAGTTATCGGGAAATTGTGGGTGGTAATTGAAGAGGACATCGTGGGCTTTCCAACGGTATCAAAATTCGACATTCTTTGTGGTCGGAAGTTGTCGAAAATTTGCCGTAAAAGTAGCCCAATTATTTGAAGAGACGAGTGGTGAATGAGTAATTATATGAAAAGATGAGTGAGCATTCAGTAATATATGAAAGATGAGTGAGCAAGTAGTAATCAAGTGTAAAGTTCAGTGATTATTTGTTAAATTTACTCGTTATTAAAATCTACTAAAAATCTAAATCAAACGTAAGCATAGGACACAAGGAAATATTTTTTCCCTAATTCCCTCGATTCCATCCCCTATAGTTCCCACCTTCAACTTATGCTATTCACAATAATTTGTCTCTCTCTTCACGAGCCATGAAATTTCTCTTCGGAGCATAACAAATTAAGGAAATCTTGAAATTAGACAAAAAATTCTTTTAAGTACCAATGTGTGTAAAAGTTGGAGCTTACGTATTGCGATGATCACTCGAATAAGTGAATATGGATGTGAATATGATACAATAGGATTCTTGAAACAAACCAACACTAAGCACCCGTTTGGCCCCCATTTTTTGAAATGAAAATGGATGGAATTATATATTTTTTTAAATGAATGGTTAAAAAAGAAGGAAAAATTTTTGATTTACGTATAATATTATTTTATGAAACATTGTGTGGTTGAAAATAAAATATATATATATATAATTTAATAGGGGCCAAATGGGAGCTAAGTATGCGTCTTTCCCAAATAATGTGCAACTTCAAACTTTTTTCATAGGTAACAGTTGTAGACACTAGCAAAATTGTATAATCTAAAGTCTAAAATTTGCGAAAGCACACTTAGTTACAGCATAATCTGTACTGTACATTCAATCATTCTCTACTTTATATGAATGCTTTAATATTTTTTTTCATTTTTGGATTATTATAACTTTGGGTGTTTGTTTTAATAAAGTAGAAGTGATATAGACAGCACCAAAAAATAAAAAAAATAAAAAAAAACATAAAAAGTGGTCATTTTTGGAGGTAATTCGTCGTCGTTTAGCGCCGTAGTGCAGTCTGGAATCTGGATTCTGGATATGCAGAAAAAAAGCTCTTTTTTTGTCTTAGCAGAGAAAGTGCAATAGTTAATGATTGTGCTTATAATTATTAATTGAGTTGGCTAATTTGTTTTGCACAGTTTTTGTTCCTATTCTGGATTCTTGTTTGGCTAATGTTTACGTACTTTTTTACTTTTGTTTCTTAAATGAACAGGAAAAGTTTGCTTTTCGCTTTTTTAATGATGCTTTTCTTTGGACATAAACTTGGCACTTTCATCTGATTTGAGCTCGTTTCTGCATGAACAGACGATTCCTTTAGAATAGGGCGGAGTCAACACTCGATGAGATGGCACGATCATCCGTGCTGGCTTCGCTAGAACTTACAAGTTGGATGTTGTCATTGTTGTAGACAATTGCCGCCCGCCAAGAAGCTTGAAGCCAGATGGATTAGGGAAGGAGGAAAAAGAGTCTGATGAACTTCGGCCATTTTTAAATTTTTTTTTCCAAACATTGGACCTTGTGATGTGAGTGAATGGGCTTTTCCTTAATCAGTCATTTTATAGAAACTCATCTTAATCTTTGCTATTGCTAGTTTTAACATTTGTACAGATTCTAACTTCGATTTACCCTTTTTTTGTGGTTGATGTCAGAAGGACAGATTGAGGACGGTGGTGCATAAGTTATGACCTGTCACCTTTGAGTAGTTGACGTCTAGCCTCCGCCACTACCTATCGCTGCTGTGTGAACCTCTCCTTTTCTTTTCTTTTTTTAGTTAATTTTTTATGCCATTTTCATTGCGGAATGATTTATAATTTATATTTTATGAATTATGACCATGAGCCTGCTGCTTGCTGCTGAGGTTTATGATTTATGAAAATTGCGAATTTTGTGAATATATGATATGTGTGTCTAAGTATTTAATTTGTGATAAATGATAAGTGACGGATCCAAGAATGAACCTCAGTTTTGACGGCCATTGGCCATGATCATTGACAGTCGATAGTCAACGATTGTTTATTTAAGTCGTTTATGAATATTTAATTGAATAATATTAAAAATTCTTCAATATATATATATAAACATGCTTTTGTATGATAAGTTCCTATTAAGATTTGGAGTCCATCTTAATAAGGTCAACCTTATTAAGAGGGGTGACCCAAGATCTATTTAAGTTGGTCAATATTTTGGTATTTAACCGATGTGAGATTTATTCCCTTAATATGCTCCCGCAAGATGGTGGTTCTTTTTTAGCAGACCAATCTTGAAATCCGTGTGCTCATTTTTTAGACTTAATCGGATCGAATAGGTCGTTGGAGCTTATTGGGTTTTGATACCATATTAAAATTTGGGGTTCATCTTAATAAGATCAATCTTATTAAGAGGAGTGACCCAAGATCTATTTAAGTTGGTCAATATTTCGATATTTAACCAATGTGAGATTTATTCCCTTAATAGTTCCTTCTCTATGTTTGAGAAGGCTATGAAATAATGAGAGTTAGCAATACAAATCTCTTTGATTTTATTCATGAATGTGAAGAACAATCTGTATGACAGAATCTTTGCATATCGAGATATCAAAGAAAAGAGAAGTGCAACAATGCATGAGTGGGGATGCAAAAATCTCGATATTATTAAGTTGGGTAAAATATTTTTTCATTTTTTCAAAAAAAAAATGAAAAAGATATGGAGAAACTTTATACAATTGTCCTTGATCTTATTAAACTTATCTTCTCATCTTCAAACAATTGTCAAATGATCTAAAAATTAAAAGATATCTTTTGATAGTCTATTTTATTTTTCCCAAGTACAAGCGAAAGTCAACATATTGAACCAGTCAGAAAGACAATCAAAATCAAAGTAGGATATTATATTTGCAATGCTAAAATCTCTGAAATTGCCTTATAGCTATGTATGGATGTATTGGTAATTCTTACTCCAAGGGGCACATGACAATTGCGAGTGTTTTTTTTTTTTTTTTTTTTTTATTTTTATGGATCAAAACAATATTTTAGCCCAATTTAAATTGCCATTGGCCCACCTCAAATAGCCCATTAATTTAAGAAAAGGAAATAAGGCACAATTTTTAATTACATTAAAAAGATATAAAATAAGACAAATAAAATATGATTTCAAAACTTAGGTACTTCTAAAAACCCTCAAAACCTCCTCTCTCTATATCATGCCCCGTTGTTCATCACTTTAGTCTTTAAACATATAGCATTTTCACCATTGTCGCAAATTTTCAGAATTCATGGAAACTTTGTAGAGTTTTGAAGGCAAATAGGTATCAACACAAAAGGTTGTAGCATTATTTGCTTGCCCTAGTGTGTGGCTCTTACAAATTTCTCTGGCTGAAACAAGCCTCCAGAGTCTGGTTTTGAAAGCTCTCTCAACAGTTCTAGAATATATTTTCAATGAATCTAAGGTTAATTATTCATTATTTACTTTTTGTACTAACACATTCAATTAATCATCATCA